ATAATAAAAAACAAAAAAACAAAGTACATTCAATAACTTATATTAATTAAATTTATTTAAAATAAATTAAAATAATAAAAAGACAAAAGATCAAAATAACAAAAAGTGATAAAAAACACAAAAAACCAAAAAAAAATGATTAATAGACTTAGGGGTGTCGGTAGTTATTAATAAGAGTTACATTAGCCTCCTCTTTTTTTATATATACTATAAGTGCACTCGTGCAATGCATCGAGACATATCTTGATTTCAGTATTTTGATTTATTTCTTTTTTTATCTCGATATAATACGATTTTATGTGGTTTTGATAAAGCGATAATTTTTTATTTTTGAATAAAATATAAATTTAAAAATATTATAAAATTTCGAAAAAAAATATATCGATATCAGTATCAAATTAATTTTTTTTAAAATTCTTTATATTTTGTTGTAATTTTCTTAATTCAAAATTTTTAATTATAATTTAATTTAGGTTTAATAATAAAGAAATTTAACTTAGGTTTAATAATATTTTTTTAAAAATAATAACTAAGTATTCTGTTAGAACTTAATGATTATTCTAATTATATTTTAGATTTTTTATATATAAAATGAGATAGTTATCCAATATTTGATCATGTTTATCTTTCTTTAATTATATGAATTCAAATATGAAACTTTAATAAGTTGTACTTACGTACAATTTACTTATAATCTTAAATTTTAAATAATATGCATTAATAAATAATACTTCGTGCATAAAAAAATGATTTTTAAGAGTTTTTGTTAAATGTTTTATAATATAGTATATATATATATATATATATATATATATAATAAACTGATGGAAATAACTAATATTTATTAACCGTATTTACTTTTTTTGACATTTTTGATATCGAGTTCTTAATATATTTTCAAAAAAATTCTTTACGTAAATTACACAAATTTGCATAAATACTTTTTTTTTCTTTTTAATATGAAAATAGGTTTTATACAAATACATAAATCATTCATATAAATTCTGGTTGAAAAAATTGTTAAAATGAAAATTGAATCGGAAGATTGGCTATTTTAGTCAGTTTTCTGTAACTGTTTGAGTAATTTTGTTTGGCATTTATTAATTATTAAAAACTCCTTCTATAAGTGCTTGAAATTTTACAAAATAATATATAATTAGGATTTAAACCTTTTTTAAGTCTAATATTATTTGAAATAGTCTGTAGATTAATCGTAAATATATTTAAATAAACTTAAATCTACATGATTATCAGAAGAAGTGATTGTGTGAGATTTGTGTGAGAACATCTGCCTTGAATTTGAAAAAAAGGGTTCGAAAACATATTTGTTTCAATACAGGTTTGAATGATTATGGATGGACCAGGCTGAGTCACTATGGAACGAAGCAGAGATAATGTCAAAATACAGTTTGGAGCTTTAATGGTCCAACAATTGTATAAAACCCCCCGACACGTTCATGTTTATTATTATATATATCACGTTAGATTTTTCTAGTCATGTACTATAAAAACGTATAATTAATGAGGTCGACATGCTATTACAATTTTGATTTATTGTTGTTTTAATTAATTTTGAGGATAGTTTTAACTATTAGTATTAGAGAATAGGGGCATTATAGTAATTTCACTTTTTGATTAGATGTGTGTTAAGTTAGTAGAAATATCTATGGCGTATTTCTTTTGTTACAAGTGTTGATTTTAGTGTAATCAGTCATTTTGGTGTAATTATGTTTACATGAGACTGAAGTGTCTTCAGTGACCTTGATTAGGGCGTGACCAATCTTTGGATTGTATCTATATAACACTAAATGGCAATACATATAAGTATACGCGTGTCAATACTATCGTCTTCGAGTAATAAAATGGTAAGAATCAAGTATCGAATTCCATAAGAATAGGTATCTTAAATTGCGAGATCTCAAGATGAAAAACTGACTTTAGATGGCGAAATTGAAGAATTTATTTGGGTTTGAGTTAACACTACTGAAAATGACAGAAAATAAAGAAAGCAATGATGTAAGACTTTTGGTAAGATGTAAACACAAATTCCAACAGACTAATACTGTCACAATGCTACGACATGCAATTAGCAACAACTAGTTTCATCATCTATTTTGAAGGTGTTCCCTTCGGGCTTTCAGCATTTGCACTAATGCTTAGATTCAATCACACATCTCTGTGCAGCATTAGACTAGTGGTAGTGCAGAATGGAGTCCTCAAAATATATTGACACGAATCTCTTTGTATAAAGTCATTATCTTGAGCAGATTTCCATATCATTCAAGTTGATGTGTTCCAAATGGCTCATCTCAGAGTCCACTCCATTTTAACACTTCAATAAGTGACAAACCTGTCGAGAATTAACCAATTTGAAAAACAAAGACGACAAAAATCTCTTTGTTAGCAACTTTTTCAAGTCCACTTCTCATATCATTCAAATTGATGTGGATTCGAGTGACTCGTCTCCTAGTCCAAGACACTTTAACATTTTTCAAAGTGATCAACTCGTCAAAAAGTGTTATTGATTTTATAAAACTTGAAATGAAATAATGAAACATCGTTGTTGCAAAATAGGGTCTACTTTCCGTTGGTTTACAAATCTTACCCTTTCCATTTTACAGCAAAGTTAGGAAAATTAGCTACTCATTACATAAAGTATATGCATGAAAATGTAAATTACAGTAAATTAAGACATGAAAGTAAATGACTGAAAGTAAATGATGGAAATTAAAAAGCGACACATAGAGAACGAAAAACGTAATAAATTAAAAACGATAAGCGTAAAAATGCAAAGAATTCAAAGTAACAA